GAGAGAGAGAGAGAGAGAGAGAGGGGAGGAGGGAGGGAGAGAGAGGGAGGGAGGGAGGGAGAGGGAAGCAGAAAGATCGGGTCTCAAGAGAACAACAACGATGAGCAATCTTATTTTGTTGCAAAGTTGGCTCTGTCCGTTATATAACCACAGAGGTCTGCAGGCCTCCCCCACGATCCGCAATCACGTCGAGTCCAGGCCATACTTTGGTCCACTGCGATCCAGCCCAACATCTGCTGCTCCTCAGACTGATGAACCAGCTTCATTTTAAGAAAGGGCACATTAACCACCTACTATTGTCTTCCTACTTATTTCTGAAGAGAAATGCTATATGTTAGAGGGATAAAAATGTATGGTATGAAATACATTGCCGACAGTTAAGTTAGACAGCTCAGCTCAGTTCATTCTGAAGTATTCCTCTCTTAATTATTCCGCTGCATTATGATATTCTTATTTATATGATAATGTAACTGAAATGGAAAACAAGTCTCTGTCATTCTTCAGGTCTGGTTCCCCATTCTGTGACATTTCTTACTTAGTTTTTACAGTGGCACCACCAGAAATCCTCTTTTTTGACCTACTGAAGCTGCAAGATCGTCATAATATAAACAAACGTTTATTTTTCCACAATGTAACCCCTTAATTAACTTAAAAAAAGAGAGAGAAGCCAAAAAGCAAGTAGTGTTCCCTTGTGCTTTTGATGACTGCTGGTTGTTATAGCATTAGTTTATGGGTCCTGGAAATACCTTGAAAATTGAGCCCATCTGACCATTAGACCATGAAGCTCATCACAATGTGACACAGATGTCTTTCTCTCTCTGGGCATCCACTGCAAGTGCTCTCAAACAGGACGCCGCCGTACTGATAGAGGAGCAATGCTGCAGCGTTGTTTGTCATAACTGCCCCAGCGGTGAATTTTTGTGGGAGCAACAACTGCAGTAAACGTGTTATGAATGACTTTCATCCGCATGATGAAGCAGCCGATTCACGTATAGAGGATCGTCACGTTATCACGTTATCAAACATCGTAACGCCGTAGATCAAACTAAATTACGAAGAAGTGCAAACACAAGAAAGGGCGGTGGTCAGACAGCGATCTCGATAAGCAGCGGCAGTCTCACGTTCCGTGGAAAACATCTGCTGTACAATCTGCTGTTCAGCTAAACCAATGTAGACCCACTCACCCACCTAAGCCTGAGACGAGATGCATTAAAACAAAGGTCATGCACAAGATAATCTTGTGCGCGCAAGATTCATTTATTGTGCACACAAGATAAAAAAAATAAACAAATAAACAAACAAATTAATAAATAAATCCTTTTTTGGGGACTTTAGCAGGCTAAGTGCAAATTCTGTTCTAAAGAGTTGGCATTTTTGTCTACTGTTCAGTCCATTAATTGTATTTTTCTGTTGCCCCTCCTTCTCCTCTAGAGAGAAATCTTTAATAAACACAAATAAGACTTCATAGGAATCAATTCAAGTCAATGCCTGTAGCTGTCTATGCAAAATGTTTGCATACATGCAGTTGGCTGAATTAATACGGACTGGCTGTGAGTTACACATGCTATACAGACTGTGAGCTATACATGCTGTATGATTGCTGTATGATAAAAGATGATGATATAGAATAAACCCACAGTGAAAGAGCAAAACACTGTCTGCACTTTATTAATGCTGACTAAGCACCTCCCAGCTTGCTGTGCACATGGGACGAAGGACAGGAAACTGAACACAGCTGCTGTCAAGATGTACCACAACAATGCTAATCTGCAGCATTTGAAAGACAATTTCACTTACAGCCATCTGGTTACAAATCCCTGTCTTTCACTACTGCGCCACCTGCTGCCCCAGAGGAAGCATAACCATTTCTAAAAAGGATGTTGAGCAAAGCTCAGCGTGTACCTGGCAGGGGTAGAGGGTGACTCCGTTGGCGCTTGATGCAGGCCATGTGCTTTCTGGGTACTGGTGTGCCTGCAGGGCCACGTTGCTGAGGGCACTGCCATTGCTGCTGCCATTGCTGCTACCATTGGAGGGACTGCCAGATGGGCGGGTCGGAGCCTGGACCCCGGGCTGGGCTCCCAGCTTGGCCCCTGGCTGGATTCCTAGCTTGGTCCCTGGCTGCAGTACTGGCTTGGGCCCTGTCTGGGACCCTGGCTTGGCCCCTGGCTGGACTCCTAGTTTGGCCCCTGGGTGGACTCCTTGTTGGGCCCCAATCTGGGCCCCCGACTTGACCCCTGGCTGGACTCCTAGTTTGGCCCCTGGGTGGACTCCTTGTTGGGCCCCAATCTGGGCCCCCGACTTGGCCGCTGGCTGGACTCCTAGTTTGGCCCCTGACTGGACTCCTTGTTGAGCCCCAATCTGGGCCCCCAACTCAGCCCCTGGCTGGACTCCAGGCTTATCTCCCGACTTGGCCCCTGACTGGGCTCCTGGCTTGGACCCAGGCTGGGCCCCTGATTTGGCCCCTGGTTTGACTCCCAGCTGGGCCACTGGCTTCCCCACATGGCTGGGAGGGCTGTCCCTGCGCTCTGCCCCATCGGTCACCCCGAGGCTGCTAGGCTTGAGGCCGTGTCTGGAGAAACCCACACGGGGGCCAGTCACTGCCGGGTGCGAGACGGACGTTCCTGAGCAGGTCGACGCCCCCTGCAGGATGCTGCGTGGGCCAACCAGTGAGGGCAGGTTAGCGAGGGGTGAGGGGGTGCCAGGGGAGCAGTCTGGGGGCTCCAGCGAGGCGGCCCGCTCCAGCGTGAGCACCATGTACACGGCCTCCTGCTTCAGCTGATTCAAGTGGGTGGAGCACACGTCGCAGCGGGCGTCGCGCTCGTTCCAGGCTTTGCGCGTGCTGTTGGCCACCTGCAGCTTGTCGTTGAGCAGTGCAGGGAGTGAAGGGTCCTGAGGAAGAGAGAACAAGACAGAGGATAAGGGAGAGCGTCATGCCACAGTTAAACCCTAAACAGTCTTTCCTAACCCCGTCCTCAGGGACCCACAGACGGTCCTTGTGTTTGCTCTCTCCCAGCTCCCTACTGGGATGCGTGTGTGAAGAGCAAACTCTGGATATTTCATTCATATCAAGTTTTAGAATTTCAAGCTCCTTTTTTATGCAACATATTGAATCTTGCCGTGCCCTTAAAAAACAAAGCTAGCAATTCATGAAAGAATACTTGAAGAAAACGGGAAATTTGCCTCCTTCTTTACCTTGTCGCCACTTTCACTAATATCTCATTTTCTGAGGGCAGTCAGAATCTCCCCAGTGGTATCCATCCCGCAAAGTCCCCAGGCTACTGAAGCAGCATACAATACAAGCCTAAGTACTACTTCACTTGCCAAACAGATGCTTTTATCAAAGGAATCACCTATGTGGCACTTTCCCACAATGCATACATCTTGATTTGCAACAACGTTGCCTTATCAAAATATTGCATGCAGCATTTCGCTCCCTGCCTCTTATCAGCTAGGCCACTTGTCGTTTGAAGTGGATGTGCGAGAGGATCTGTCCTAGCTACCCTAGCAATTTTAGGGAGACAATTAAAGCAATTTGTTGCACAATTAACCCAGATATAGAGAATCACTAAACATTCTCCTGAGGATTAGCTAATGTGCCTGGGGTAGCTACTACAATGAAATGTTTTGCAGTAATAGTTTTTAATGAATAATACATTCATTTTTGGGTGCCACCCCTAGTGGAGTAAACACAACAGCTTAAAGGACAGTAAGAGTATACTGTGGCTGCTGTCCCAGTTTTATGGTTCAGTGTCTAATATCATGTTTCCTATAAAGACATTAGAATGGTGAATGTTATTTGCATAATTGTTTTTCTTGTGTTTATTTAATTGACACTAAATAATAACAAATATTATGGAAATAAAAGCTAATATATTATAAAGGAACATAAATTTTGTCAGAATCTGTCTTTACCAGTCCCATCATGTTCCCATTTGGCCAGCAGAGGTCACTGGCCATCTGACCTCTTCCAAATGTTTCCTTGCCTATTGTCTTGATTTCCCACACCTGTTTCCAATTAGTGGCTTGTTACATGTGATCACTAGAGTTTGGCTTGTTACTAGTGATTTACGCCTGTTCCTTATTTAGTCCTTGTTAGCCAGGTATATACAGTATGTGTCTGCCCTTGCCCTGTTCCTTGTAGGTGATTGTGGATGTAGATGTTGCCTATGGTTCCTGCTTGTCCCCCATAGGTGCTTGTCCCCCATAGGTGCTTGTCCCCCATAGGTGCTTGTCCCCTTGTGTTTTCCATATAGGCACCTGGCCATAATTCTCTTCCCATTTAGTTAGGGTCTGGTTGTCTACCTGTTATGCTTAGACCCCGTTGTTGTCCCTTTTGATTCTGGTTACCAGTTGAGTTTCATTTATAAATACAATCCCTTGTGGTCTGTAAGCTGCATTGGAATTGTCACTTCTTCCCGTTGTCCCTTTGTGACAAATTTATAATACCGTATTGCCATTTCCTATGAAGGTTTTGAATTTTCAGAAAACAGTCTAGATATTTTGGATAGTTAATCCAAAAAAAGATCTGTTTGTTTTTAGTTTTGAGGAGAAGAAGCAAATGCTTTGGGGCACAGAATTTCTGTAAAAATATGTGCAGATGTAAGTCCTGGCAGAATCAGAATCAGTGTCTAGATCTTAGCGCCTGTGTGACCCAGTGAGAGAGCAAAGCAGAAACATCAATACGAGCAGCACACACACACACACATATAGTCATGTGTGTCTTAAATCAGTATTTTCCAGCCCGGTCCTCTGGGCACCCCAGACAGTTAACGTTTTGGAAACTAGGAGGAAGCAAAAACCTGGACTGTCTGAGGGCCCCTGTGGACTGGGCTGGAAAACACTGCCTTAAATAATCAGGAGAGGACAAAGTATTCTGTGCCAGTGCAATCATAAATTAAGTGCAGAACATCAGATCATCTCCATTTCCAAAAGCTTCCACTCAAGCTGATATGGACAAAAGATAAACATGAAGCTGCTGGCCTGGATTTGCATTCCTCATGTTCAGGCAGCAAGAGGCCTACAGTGTCTGCTGTGCCCTGTCAGAGCTGGGATTGGCACAGAGGCACCCAGCTGGCATAGAAAATGCATGTGCATGGAGTAAATGCCAGTCTCACTTGGAACCTGTATTCCAAACCTACTTTGGATGAGTGTAACACGGGGCACAAATCCAGGTAAGCAGGGTTCCAACCTCAGGTGGAGAGAGAGAGCCAGGTCTTATAGGTGTCGCACATTCCCGTCTCGGTGACAGCCGGTGGCTTGGCCAGCCTCGGCAAGCTCTCATATCTTTACCCTGCAACCAGTCCCAGCAACCTGACCAGCCTAGCAGCAGATTCAACACACCAACAGACAAATACCTTCCTCTCTGTGATCAAGTTCCTATTCAAGCTTTGCATCTTGAAGACAAAAGAGTTTCTTGTGCGCATTTGGATGCTTCTTTTTCAGGAGACCTTCCTCCTGAAACATTTTTATTAACTAAATATGACACTGTTGCGGGTATGGCGATGCCCCGCCAAAGCTACATGTTGGGTTTCACATGCTGAAGTCACTCTTCCTACAGGAGTCGTGCCAGTTGTCTCACCCTACAGTGCGAGGGGGCTAAAGAGCACAAACCACATGTCCTTCTAAATGGGTGGCAAGTGCTTTCAGAAACAAAATTCCACAATAGACAACGAGCACTAGTCAAGTCACAACAAAGAACAGCATGTTCTTTTATGAGACAGATGTGCTTAAACAGCACACAGATGGTCGGCACCCATAGAAAAAGAGATATATCTGATTTGAGTTTGATGTATTTAGGGATGCCTGTGAAACATCACTATAAATATGTATCAAACTACACAGTCATAACTCAGTCATCAGCTGGACTTATAATAATAATAAAGTGCTCAACACCCAAAGTGACTGAGTCCTACGGGTTTGGTCATAAAGGGGAATGGAGCATTACTTTTGGGAAACCAGTTCCCATGGCTACTGCAAATCAGAATGAGTGGGCCTTTCATTTTCAGTGGCCTTTTTTTAATTTGATGCCTATAATGAGCAGACCCTTAGTAGTCCCAGAGAATTTTAGGCATAATCTACAATCTCATGTCATTTATGCATCTTTCTGAATATGTCTTGCAATCGGTCTACATGCAACTCTCAGTCTTTGTTCAAGGGGGAAAAAGTGCACAATAGTCATTGGTTGATCCAGTCCAGGCTAATAAAAAAAAGTAGCAGATGTCTTCATAAAGGGAGAGACAACAAAGCCTGGATGCTTAGATCATGTTTGCACCACTACTTCTTCTAACTAATGTTTTCATTCTACTTTCTTGCAGATTTTTTTTACTGATTATGTAAAATATGCATGTAGCAGTAACTAATTTACACTTATTTCATGTCCTTGAGCGAGATAATTAGCTTTAATTTCTCTAGAAAAGCATCTAACTACAAAAAAAATTTTTTTTCAAACTACAGTCAAAGACACTTTGGATTTGATTGTGTGCTAAACAAACTAATAATGCAATACAGTAAAATCCCATTATAGTGTCTGCTGAGGTGTGGCATGAGTAAATGGTGTCCTGTAGTTGTGTTCTGGGCATACAGCAACTCTGCATATAACGGACTTTGGTTATAATAGACAGTTTTGCCAGGTTCCTTAAAGTCCGTTATAACGGGATTTTACTGAAATCTAAAACATATAATGGTTGCATTATAATTCATAGATGTAAGTGTAAGAATGTAATAAAAGACAAAGTTTTAGAATATATTACATATTAAAATGTTAGTTATGCTTCAGTAGTTTATTAATATGTAATGTATTAATTGACAATATACTACATTAAATTCTCAGCATTACTTATGTTAACTATTTATTAACTATTTTGAAGTGTCCAAAAACAGTGTAGGCAGCATTTATTTACATACTATCCTCTTGTGTTCCGAAGAATAATAGAATTCTACAATAGTTGCAACTCCCGATTCTCCTCATGAATTATAGGCATGAATGTGTTTTTTTCATAATGATCAGATTAGAAGCCTTGTGCAAACTGTGATATTCTGTTTTTAAATAAACCAGCATTAGGAAATTGAGCAACTGAAATAATTTCAAGAGAAACACCAGCATCTTTATCAGGAATTTCCCAAAACGCAAATGCAGATTTATGTATAAACTCAGCAGACATTAACCTCCCTGCCTGTGAGATTCTCCAGATGCCTGGAAAGGAGCCACGGACTGAGGATGTACTGAAGGTTACCGTGATGATAATCTGACCAGCTCGTCAGCCGGATAAAAGCATGAGGATCAGACTCACTTTGCTGTAATATTGCTGTAGGGCTAAGTGTCAGACAGGGAGCCCACACACTGCACTGGGCGAAGGCTTTCTTTTAAGGATAAGGTTTGCTCCTGTGATGAATCTTCATCCTCAGAAGTGCTTCCTATCTGAGAAGCACTCCGATGCCTTTTGATGTATTTATACATATGGCTATTCAATTCCAGATAAAAGGGTACTTCAGCCATTTCAAGAAAAAAAAAACACAGTGCAATGCATTTGGTAATTTTAATAATAATAAAAAAACCTTCCAAACCCCAAACACAACCACAGCATTAGCTTATATATTTTAGAACCACTTTCCATTTCCATTCATTAAATTAATAAAAATATACATTATACTATTTATCCATTTTTATTTTGCACATAGTTATTGACGATTTCCTACATATTGTTACATATTACATGTCTTGTCCTGCCTTGTGTTTTGATTCCACTGCTTGGGGATTCGCTAAGTCAATCTTGTTGTGCTGTTATGTACACGGACAAAAAACCAAATTTGGTTGAAAACTAATACCAGTCTACCTTGTTCTAAAATGTTTTGTACTCAAGGTCCAGTCCCAACAAATACACCTTATAATT